CCCCCTGGCTCCCCTCTCCCAGCCCCCACCAAGCCCACCCTTGCTGGGCCTCCAGAGCCGGTCCATCCCGTGCCGCAGCAGCACGATCCTGGCCAGTTCCATGAAGGACTCGGTGATGTTGAAGTCACACAGGGGGCTGACCTCGAAGAAGGTCACACCCAGGCGCTCAGCATAGGCGCGGGCCTGCTCCGTGGGCACCTGCCGCTTGAAGGCCAAGTGCAGCCGGTTCCCCACCAGGATTTTGGGAACGCCTGGGGCATGCTAAAGGCAAGAGGAAGGCAAATGAATGGGTTACTATTTGGGCCTGCTGTGCAGTGGGAGCTGGCACTGGTCACCCGCTCCCTGGGGCTGGACATTGGCAAGGACCACAGAAGGAGTGCAGCAGCCAAAACAGAGCCACACAGAGCTCTGGTGACAGTGTCACTGGGTCATACCTCATCGATCTCCTTAATCCAGCGGTCGATGCCATCGAAAGACCAGCGGTTTGTGATGTCATAGACCAGGATCACACCCTAGAGGGAAAAGGCCACGGTGCTTGAAACCCAGACACAGACATGTGGCTGCTGGCCTGAGGGGCCTAATGCTGGGATGCGACTTGCAACTACACCAAAGAAACTAAGCCAACTAAACAGCCACTGCTTCTGTTTTCTCATAAAATGAGTTACTTTTATTTATCCACCAGTGTAGCAGCTCTGGGGGTGTTTCCAGTGCTACTTCATGAGCTCATCGATAAACCCCAAGCTTCTTGGTGAGTGGGGACTAGAACTCACACTTCCCCATCCAGGAGCTACTCCAGGGACACAGTATGTGGGCCACCACAGACATGACCCCCTCTCTAAGGAGTGAAGTGTGTGTACACACGCACATGCATGCACACACACATGCAGAAACACACATAGACACATGCACAGAATACATGGATACAGGCACGCAGGTGCACACAAAAGGCACCTGTGCGAGAAAGACATGCATGCAGCGCACACATGTGCACACACATGCAGGCACGTGTAGACATGCACACACCCTCATGCACACACATGCACATGCAGGGCACACATACATGTGCAGACATGCACACACATCCTCGAACTGCACAGATGCACATGCATGCAGGACAGACCTATGTGTGTGCAGACATGTGCACACAGTCACATGCATACACATGCAGGACAGGCACACATACATGTCCATATACATGCACACACCCTCATACACATGCAAGTGCATGCAGGGCAGGCACACCTATGTGTGCCCACACACAGACACACCCTCACATATATGCATACATGTGCAGGACAGGCCCGCATGTGTGCGCACAGGCACACACACTCTCACGCACATGCATGCATGTGCAGACATGCATACACCCTCACACATATGCACACACGTGCAGGACAGGCCCGCATATGTGTGCATGCACGTGCACACACTCTCATGCACATGCATGTGCAGATATGCACACACCCTCACACATGCATGCATGTGGACAGACATGCATATGTGTGCACACACGTGCATACACTCTTCCACAATCCTGCTGCTGAGAAGGCTAAGCCACCTAACACATCACAACACATTTTTAGACTCTGATATAGATTTACAGAAATGCTTTGTCTTTCCCTCCAGTTTTCCATGAAGAGGATGGTTAGTTAAGCATTTTAAATGGTATCTATTCAAAGTCTATTTGCTCTCCCAGTTCAGGGAAATGACACGTTACCTGTGCACCTCGTGAGTAGGAGCGGAATATAGTACAAAACCTTCCCTGCCCCGACGTGTCCCTGGAAAAGACATCAGAAGCCGTTAATGAGGTATCAGCTCTCCTTCCTGATAACAAGGCATTTGAAGTGAGCCTGACTCCCAACATGGCTGTAACATTGTCTCCTGGAGGGACCTGGGTGTTGTGGCAGATGGCCCTCATCTTTCTAAAAGTGAGACTGCAGGCAGAGTGTTTGTGTACTTTGGAGACAAAGCTGTGTTAATGCATTAGTCTACACTGGAGCAGTGAGTCTACAAGGGTGAAGTCAATCTACCCAGGGGCAGTGAGTTACACTGGGGCAGCGAGTCCACATGGGGGCAGTGAATCCCTACTAAGTACAGTGAGTCTACCCTGGGAGAGTCAGTCTACACTGGGGCATTGAGTTCACACTGGGTATAGTGAATCTACACTAGGGCAGGATATCCAGGTTCAAAGGGGTGGGAGGCAAAGCTAGGCCCCAAGCCCCCTAGAGCCAGGAAAGGGAGGGACCAGGAGTGGCCTCAGGGACCTCAGGAGTGGCAGGATATCGAGGTTGAAAGAGGCAGGAGGCAAGGCTAGCCCCCAAGCCCCCTAGAGCCATGAAAGGGAGGGACCAAGAGTAGCCGGGGACCACAGAGTGGCAGGTTTCAGGCAGGAATTAGGTAAAAGGAGGGTGCAGAGGTTTCCAACAGCAAAGGGAGACAAACTTTTCTGTCAGTTTGTCATCCCGTGTGGCTTGTATGTTGCTGTGAGGCTTGGGGCTGTGCCACTGGTGTTTCAGATGCCAGCAGAGATGCACATGGTATAAGGTTTCAACACAGCTTACAGACTAAGACAGACTAGGAAGAAGGAGGAGGCCATCCACTTCTCAACAATTGGCCAGGGAAGACCTTATGAATAGCAGAGAAACACTGTCTGATACATTACTGGGCAACTTTATCAATAGCTTGGAAACACTGACACGGTGCAGGAAAACTAGCCCCTTGGCTTGGGAGGCACTCAAAATAGGACTGGGAAAGAGCTGCCTCATTAGAGTAGATCCAACTTTAATGATATGGATAAAGTAAGTCTTTCAGGACTTCCATGTGCTGACATGGACGACTCAAATTGAGGAGAAACAGCTGCAAACATCCATTAATAATCAGAACATGGAATATACAAAGTATGAATCTAGGAAAATTGGAAGTTGTCACAAATGAAATGGAATGCATAAAGAATGATATCCTAGGCATTAGTGAGCTGAAATGGACCGGTTTTGGCCATTTTGAATCAGACAACCATATGATCTACTATGCTGGGAATGACAGTTTGAAAAGGAATGGCGTGGCATTCATCATCACAAAAGATGTTTCAAGATCTGTCCTGAAGTACAATGCTGTCAGTGATAGGATAATATCCATACACCTACAAGGAAGACCAGTTAATACTAATATTATTCAAATTTATGCACCAACCACCAAAGCCAAATATGAGGAAATTGAAGACTTTTATCAACTTCTGCAGTCTAAAATTGACAGAACATGCAATCGAGATGTGTCAATTATCACTGGTGACTGGAATGCAAAAGTTGGAAACAAAGAAGAATTACCGGTAGTTGGAAAATTTGGCCTTGGTGACAGAAATAACTCTGGAGATCACATGATAGAATTTTGCAAGACCAACGACTTATTCATTGCAAATATCTCTTTTCAATAACACAAACGGCAGCTATACATGTGGACTTTGCCAGACGGAGTACACAGGAATCAGACTGACTACATTGGTGGCAAGAGGAGATGGAAAAGCCCACTATCTTCAGCCAAAACAAGGATAGGAGCTGATTGTGGAACAGACCATCAACTGCTCATATGCAACTTCAAATTGAAGTTAAAGACAATCAAAACAAGTCCATGAGAGCCAAAATATTATCTTGAATATATCCCTCCTGAATTCAGAGACAATCTAAAGAATAGATTTGATGCATTGAACACCGATGACCGAAAACCAGAGGAATTGTGGGATGACATCAAGAGCATCATCCATGAAGAAAGCAAGAGGTCATTAAAAACACGAGAAATAAAGAAAAGACCAAAATGGATGTCAGAAGAGACTCTGCAACTTGCCCTTGAGTGAAGAGTAGCTAAAGCAAATGGAAGAAATGACAAGATAAAAGAGCTTAACAGAAGATTTCAAAGAGCAGCTCGAACAGACAAAGCCAATTACTATAATGAAATGTGTAAAGACCCGGAGTTAGAAAACCAAAAGGGAAGAACACGCTCAGCATTTCTCAAGCTGAAAGAGCTGAGGAAAAAAATTTAAGCCTCGAGTTGCAATATTGAAAGATTCCATAGGCAAAATATTGAACGATGCAGGAAGCATCAAAAGAAGATGGAAGGAATACACAGAGTCATCGTACCAAAAAGAACTGGTCAATCTTCATCCATTTCAGGAGGTGGCATATGTTCAAGAACTAGTGGTACTGAGGGAAGAGGTTGAAGTTGTGCTGAGGGAATTGGCGAGGAACAAGGCTCCAGCAATTGACGGAATACCCACTGAGATGTTTCAACATATGGATGCTCTGCTGGAGGCACTCACTTGGTTATGCCAAGAGATATGGAAGATAGCTACCTGGCCAACTGACTGGAAGAGATCCATATTTGTACCCATTCCCAAGAAAGGTGATCCCACAGAATATAGAAATTATCGAACAATATCATTAAAATCGTATGCAAGTAAAATCTTACTGAAGATAATTCAAACACAGTTGCAGCAGTATATTTGACAGAGAACTTCCAGAGATGCAGGCTGGATTCAGAAGAGAACCTGGAACAGGGATATCATTGCCGATGTCAGATGGATCTTGACTCAAAGCAAAGATTTCAGAAAGATGTTTACTTGTGTTTTATTGACTATGCAAAAGCATTTGATTATGTGGATCATAACAAATTGTGGACAACATTGAGAAGAATGGGAATTCCAGAACACTTAGTTGTACTCATAAGGGACCTGTACATAGACCAGGAGCCTGGCATTCAAACAGAAAAGGGAACACTGCATGGTTTAAAATCAAGAAGGGAGCACGTCAGGGTTATATTCTTTCACCACACTTATTCAATCTGTATGCTGAGCAAATAATCTGAGAAGCTGGACTATTTGAAGAAGAACGTGGCATCAGGGTTGAAGGAAGGATCATTAACAACCTGTGATACGCTGACAACACAACTTTGCTTGCTGAAAGTGAGGATGACTTGAAATACTTACTAATGAAGATTGAAGAATACAGTCTGCAGTATGGATTACATATCAATATAAAGAAAACAAAAATCCTCACAACTGGACCTATAAGTAGCATTACAATAAATGGAGAAAAGATTGAAATTGTCAAAAACTTCACATTGCTTAGTTCTACAATCAACACCAATGGAAGCAGCAGTCAGGACATCAAACGACGTATAGGACTGGGTAAATTGGCTGCAAAGGACCTCTTTCAAGTACTGAAGAGCAAAGATGTGTCCTTGAAGACTAAGGTGTGTCTGACAAAAGCCATGGCCTCATATGCATGTGAGAGCTGGACAATGAATAAGGAAGACTGAAGAAGAGTTGATGCTTTTGAGCTGTGGTGTTGGTGTAGAATGCTGAAAGTACCGTGGACTGCTAAAAGAACTAACAGGTCTGTCTTGGAGGAAGTGCAGCCAGAATGCTCCTTGGAGGAAAGAATGGCCAGACTTCGTCTCACCTACTTTGGTCATGTTGTCAGAAGGGACCATTCCCTGGAGAAGGATGTCATGCTTGGTAAAGTGGAGAGCTGATGAAAGAGGGGAAGGCCCTCAATGAGGTGGATTGACACAGTAGTGGCGGTGACGGGCTCAAGTGTAGCAAGAATCGTGGAGCTGGCTCAGGACCGGACGGTGTTTTGTTCTGCTATGCATAGGGTCACTATGAGTCGGAGATGACTCGATGGCACCTAACAACAACAACAACACTGGGGCAGTGAGACAACATGGGGACGTGAGTCCACACTGGGGAAGTAAATCTACACTGAGTACACTGAATCTACACAGGGCAGTGAGTCTTAACAAGAGCAGTGAAAATCTACACTGGGACAGTGAACCCATACTGGGCTTAGTGAGTCCACACTGGGGACAGAGTCTACATGGGGCCAGCGAGCAGGAGCCGTGGCAGATCCCTCCATTTCCAATCCAGCAATGAGACCTAGTGAAATCACCCCTCAGACACACCCCTCCATTCATTATACTGGAACTGGTACCGAGACCAAGAGGGTACCCGTCGACAAGGGAGGCACACTGCGCTGCCACTGCTGGGACATGCAGATGGACTCCAAGCAACACAAGCTAGGGTCAGCTCCCATGGTGTGTGCTCACAGCAGAGCTCTCGGGACCACGGCTGCTGCGTCATTTCTCAGGATGACATCATCACACTACCACGCGTGCCATTTGCATTCCCATTTTGCCAGATTGTTCTGTGGGGTCAGGAACCCCATGGGACCTAGCCGTGCTTATCCAGGTCTCATGCATGAGCAGTGAGACACAGCATGGCTTTGCTGCTTCTCTTCCTTGGCACTGTGGTTGGTGACTGGCCCTGCCTTCCACATCCCAGAGGGACACCCAGACTCCAGAGCAAGGGGCTGGGGCTCAGGAGAGAGCAGGAGGCTCCAACGTCCCCAAAGACATGGGAAGCAAGACAAATTCACTAGGGATCCCGGGAGCAGCCTCAGCAGTGCTTCAGGAGCTAGACTCCATCCACGACAGAAGCTGCTGGAAGCCTGTGGGCAAGGAGGTGGACTGAGAGCAATGCCCAGAAGCCAACCTGCCGGCTTTGCACAGGCTGGCAAGGGAGCAATAGCACGTACATGTGCACAGAAGTGTAGTGTTTGTGTGCATGTGTGTGCAGGCGTGTACGTGCATGTGCACATATGTACGCAAACGTGCAGGTACATGTAGCATGTGCATGTGCGTGCATGTGCCCACATGTGCGTATGAGCACATACAATCATGAAGAGTGCACACATGACAGCCTGAGTAGGGAGTGTGTGCAGGCCAGGCCACCCATGGTCCCAGGTGCCCCCCAGGACACAGTGGTGAGCCCAGCCCCGTGTTCACCCTCAGGGTGAGCCGACCAGATGGTTGACACGTGCTGGGGCACAGTGTGCAGGACAGCAGAGGGGGCTGCGCAGGGTGCCTGTGTGCAGAGCACGCAGAAGTGCGCTGTGGAGCTGCGGGCAGGCACCTTGCACGGGAGGCCCTCACGGCCCTGCAGGGACCGGGGTGATTCTGAGCAAGGCAGGAGCCCGGTGCTTACCAGAGTTGTAGCTTCACACGCCGGCCGTCCAGTAGGATGGTGGTCGTCTTGTAGTCAATGCCTGTTCAGGAGATCATGGGGCAATTTTAACCCAGGCCTGGCTGCAAAGCATGTCCATATGGCTTTCTCAATAAAAACATTTGGGGGAGATAGGTTTTCTCATTACTGAAAATTTGGGGTGCATGGGGCGATTGTCTGGCCTGCATGTGCATTTTCGGACATGCTTGGACCTGCCTGCTGGGCTATGCTCCTTGCCCAGTAGAGAACCCCAACCTCAGCCACTGGTTCCTCTCTTATTACCGACGGGCTCAGTTGCATAGGGTGAAGGCCAGGTGTCCCCTCAGTCCCCCTCTGCCCATAGTGGAAGTCATGAAGCCCCAGGTCCCCCGACCCATACAGGCCTGGGCCTCCCCAGCTGCTGCCCAGAGGGGAAGGTACAACAAAGTAGGAGGGGAGGGTGACCCCATGACTTGGATTTGGCCCACCAGTCAGAAGACCAGAGGACTCTGCCTTCTGCTCCTGGGACTGGTGGGGGACTGAGATGGGGGACACAGTTCATCACGGCCTGGAAGAGTCTTTGTGTTTCCAGCAGCTGGCAGGTTTGCGTGAGCCAGTGGCCAGCCCTACTCTCCCAGCTCTGAGGCAGCATTCAAAGCCCCGACTTGTGCTCTGTGTTACATGAGGCTGGAGGTCTGCAAACGCTGGTCCCCAAGCTCACACTAGGGGCATGAAGTGAAGGTGTGTGTGAAAGTCAGTATGAAGCACTACCCCAACCGAAAAACACAAATGCACGTATTTATGCACGCTTACGCCTGAGGAAAAAGATGATGGGAATAGCCCTACATTGTTGTCTTTGGGGATCTCTGGGTTGTAGAATACGGGTAGATTTCCTTTCTTTTTCTAAACCTTATTTAATATTCTTTTTTTTCCTTCCCTCAATGAACATGCATTTCTTCTAAAATCAGAAAAACAGCAGTATTAAAAAAGAAGTAAAAACACCCCTCCCCATTCCACCAGAAACCAATTTTACTTCTGTGAGTAACCACCCATGTTCACAAATAGTCCACTCAGACTGATTATGCTGTTCAGTCTGTCAGTGTGCCCAGGAAGGAGAGCGTCATTGAGAGAGAAGGTGTCTAGTCAGTGACTGGAGAAAGAATGAGTACTCCTTTCTGACAAAAAAATACAACTCAGTTTATGGCCACGAGAATTCCATTGGCTTTGAAACATGACATGTCACTGTGGCTTCTGACTTCTCCCACTTCCAGAACTGATGCAAGACTGTCCTCAAAGCACCTCAGTCTAGAGAAGAGCCATGAGAGCACCTGGATGTGTTGACAAGCGAAGCTGAGGTAAGAATAACTCAAAAGGGAAAACTGCTGACAGGGAGGCACAAGTGAGAGGCCACTCTAGAGAAAGCCACCCCGTGGCTAGAGCATCCTCAGTAACTCTCCTCCAGAGGAAAGAACAGCCCAACACAGCTCCGAAAGCAAGCCCCTCTACAACACCATGAGAAGGACAATGCCCTTACCAAAGAGCTCGCCTCATGCTCCTTAGAGGGATCTAGAATGCTGAGACTGGGCTCTGAGCCCACCCCATCTCCAAAGAGAAACACTCCATCAGAAAGATCGGATTCCAGAAAGTCCCTCTCGTTAAAGAAGGCTGAAGGTAAACAGTGTGTAAGGCAAAGGGAGCCAAGACTTAGCTTCACACGCCAAGAACATATCAACTGTATGCTAAGGAGGAGTGTACGACATCCCTGGAAGTATGTAGGTCTCCGTCCTTGGGGTTTCATACTGCTGAATCAGCAAGAAGGGGTCACTGTGCCAACTTTGGTCTGTCTTGTGTCCACCTGCTATGGGACGTATGTCTGGCACCGTGCGCCAAGGTGGGGCTTGGTGGAGGCCATGGGCTCTCATTCTGCCACTCAGAGTTAATTCTTTTAAATGTTCTCTAAGAAGAAGAATACTCCATCCATAAAACAAGAACAGCACTGTTCTTAAGGAAAAGGAGTAATAAGACAGGGAGAACCCTGTCTTATTAATGTTCTGTAATGATACAGAAACCCAAGTGAGTGAGAACCCTCCAACACAGCACAGAAAGAGAACACATCAGCAGGGCTGGATGAAGGCAGGGAAATGTCACAGAAAGCAAAACATGAGAAAAAAGAGATGGAAAGCAGGAGGGAAAGACAAGAAAATGACAAGAGTTACGCATGCAACCCAACATCTGACCAAGCAAGATTCTACAAAGAGAGCACCAAGAAGAGAGAACTTTCCAGAATTATTAACAACAGTGGTGAGTAGTGACTGGGGTCTGAAAACTTATAAGCGGCCATCTAAGAAACAACAATTGGTCTCTCCTCATCTGCAGCAAAGAAGAATGAAGAAAACAAATGTATGGGAACAATTAGTCCAAGGGACTTGTGGACCATGTGAACCTGAGCCTACATGACCCTGACACCAGAAGAACTAGATGATACCTGGCTACCACTACCAACTACTCAGAGAGGAAAGGGATCACAATTGGAGATCCTGGATAGAGTGGGAGAAAAATATGGAACAAAACTCAAAATCATAAGGAAGTATCAGGCTTACTGGTCTGATGAAGATTAGTAAAACTCCCAAGACTATGTCACCTTTCAGGCCTGGAATTGAACTCACTCCTGTGGCTTCCAGCCAAACAATGGACAGGCCTACAAGGTGAACATTTATACCAGGGAGGTGTGCTCCTTAGAATAATAAACCTTGTAAAAAAAAATTAGAAAAAATAACAATGGTACTGGTAATGTAATAACTACAAGAAAATTAACCAGGACTGAAGGGTGTGAAGGGAGCTCTGGTATCATAGTACCTAAGGCACTTGACTGCTAACCAGAAGGCTGGTGGTTCAAACCCACAAGTCACTCCTCGGAAGGAAGATGGGGCAATCTACTTCTGTAGTGATACTACTGTAATGATACAGAAACCCAAGGACGGGTCGCTATGAGTCGGGTCCGACTTGACAGCACCTATCAACAACAACAACAAAGGGTGTGAATACATGAATCTCCAGTTGAATGCTGAAAAACTATCCATGCCAAAGCAGTTTGTGGTGAAATTTCATATACAAGGGGATTCCCATGCTTCTGGAAAATTAGGAAAAACAGCTCACATAAAATGGAACAGGAATCAAAATGGCATCTGAATTCTCAGTGGGAGCTGGACAGCAATAGGGCATCACTTTCAAAATTCTGAGGGAAATCACTTTGCAGGCTAGAATTTTATACCCAGCCCAAAGGCCAATCAAAAGTCTCAAAGTTACCTTTCTTTCTTCTTTCTCAAGAGGCTATTAGATGATGTGCCCCAGTCACATAAGAAGCAAACCAGAAAAGACTCCACTGGGGATGTTAGAGGAGACCACTTGGCAGAGGGACCCAGGGACAAGGGCCCTTGTCTAGGCATCCTCAGCCTCTTGTGCTCAACCCCTTCCCTGTCAGGCATACTCAGGCCTCAGGCTTCGCAGCACCACTTCCAGGAAGACCCCTGGTCTGCCTCTAAGACAGGACACCCCATGTCACATGGAATCACAGGCCTTCATGTACTACTAGCTAACTGTAATCAGCACACAGATCATGCCTCACACTGGCTGCACAGAGAAATCATTGAGTAGATAAAATATTTCTCCCTTACAGTGGAACTTTCCTTATGGAAATTCAAAGAGAGCCAGAAGGCAAGCATAGTTAAGAGACTTAGAATCACCTCTCTGCCTGTGTTGTTAGAAATGAAGTCTGGGGTGAACATTAAGAACACAGGATTAGACCCTCCCTGGGCAGCCCTGGCTTTCCCAGGGTCTGAATGCTGACTCTGCCCCATCCCACCCACACAGGGACACCCTCCCAGAGACATGTGTTTGATGTGGCTCTGCAGGGCACTTTCTGAGGTCTCCCTTCACCATCTTCTTCCTGACCTGAGGAGCTAGGGGCATTTCAGTATGATGAAGCAGACCTCATGATGAAAACTATTTTTATTTATTGTTTGACTCCAAGAAATAAGTACAAGAGGACACTTTCAAGATCCCATTAGCCAACCTCACTACAGGAAACCAAACACCACACCCACTGCCGTGGAGTCGATTCCAATTCACAGCACCCTACAGGACAGAGTGGAACTGCCCACAGGGTCTCCAAGGCTGTCAACCTTCACAGAAGCAAAGCCCAAACCATACCCACTGCTCTGAAGTCGATTTCCACTCACCACACCCCTAGAGGTTGGGGTAAAACTGCCCCATGGGGTTTCCAAAGCTGTCATTTTTATGGAAGCTGACTGCCTCATCATCCTCCCACTGAACAGCTGGTAGGTTCAAACTGCTGGCCTTCTGGGTTAACAGCTGAATGCTTTAACTGCTGCGCCACCAGAGCTCCCTCATTCTGGGAAGTAGCTCTTTTGTCTTCCTCCATCCAGCTCAGCCCAGAGCAGCCTAGGGGATGGTTTCTGGGCACCAGGTGGCAACCGAGGGAGAAATCCCTGACTACAAAGGAAGCGCTTCCTTGGACCCTCTCCTCCAGGGCCCTCTCCTCCAGGGGCCCTCTCCTCCAGGGACCCCCTCCTCCAGGGACCTCTCCTCAGGGACCCCCTCCTCAGGGACCTCTCCTCCAGGGACCCCCTCCTCAGGGACCTCTCCTCCAGGGACCCTTTCCTCCAGGGAC